AGAAAGGAAAAAACTATTAAAATTGTAATAATATATACTGATAAAAAAAGATGAGTACAAGTCATGTTTGACTTCTACAATTACAAGAGATGCTCAAAGTGGTTACCATCAGCATAATTTTAATATAGTTTTCCTTTCTTAAAATGTGGATACATTTTTTTTGGCACCCTGTGTATGTGTTACAAATATACTCCCCAGCTTATTTGTTCCCTTTAAGTTTTTTTTTTTTTTTTTTTTTTTAGCTGAGCCATCCTGCCACCTGTTGGCAGCTCAGCGGCAGCTCAGCTCGGGCCAGGCATCGAACCGCTGTTGCTCAGAGCTCACACTCTTGAGCGAGTGAGCTCTTAACCAACTGAGCCACTCGGCCGGCCCTTAAGTTTTGTTTATGATGTGTTTGTCATTCCAAAACTTCAAACTGATTTAAAGTCAAACCATTGATATTTTTCCTTAATGATTTATGACTTTAGGGGGTCACATTTAGTGTTCTTCCTTAACCAGAGATCATATATTCATTTGTACTTTTGTTGCTATCACAGTTTTATGGTTTTATTTTCTTGCCGTTAATTCATTTGTGGTTTATTCTGGTGTGAGGTTTGAGCCTGGAAATCTAACTTAATTTTTTACCCCCCAAAAAAGGTTATCTAGATATGACCTGGGGGTGGGGTGGGAGCTCCTGGAGCCAGTTTCACCATGAGGCTAGAGCCATTGGCTTCTTGGTGACTGTCTGTACTCTCTCTCCCCACCAGGCCTTGGAGACCCGGGCCAGCCCTGGCCACACCCCGGGCTGTGTCACCTTCGTCCTGAATGACCACAGCATGGCCTTCACTGGAGATGCCCTGCTCATCCGAGGGTGTGGGCGGACGGACTTCCAGCAAGGTCACAGTCCCCTTCCTACAGCCCGAGATCTTAGTATAGTTATATGTGTGCCAGGGTTTTAAGTATCAGTTGCAAGAACGAATGAATGAAATGTTAAACTTTCAAAGGGTTAGGATTAAACTCAAGGCATTTAGCTGCTGAAGTGGGGGGAGAGTTGGATTTAGGGCTTAGCTGATGAGCAGCAGTTAGATTGAGGGGTTTAGCTATTAGAGGACAGTTAGGTTCAGGGGTGTGTTAATTATCTATTGCTGTGAAAGAAATTACTCCAGAACTGAATGGCTTAAAACAATGATTAACATTTATTATCTACAGTTTCTGAGAGCCCGGACTCCAGGAGCAGCTTAGCTGGGAGGTTCTGTCTCAGGATCTCTCTTGAGGATGCAGATGAGAAGTCAGCCTGGGCTGTGGTCATCTAAAGGTTTGCCTGGGGCTGGAGGACCCACCTCCAAGGTGGTTCACTCACATGGCTGGCAAGCTGGCCCTGGCTGTGGGCAGGAGGCCTCAGTTCCTCCCTACATGGACCTTTCCATGGGGCTGCTTGAGTGTCTTCACAATATGGCAGCTGGGTTCTTGAAGAGGGAATGATATGAGAGAGAGAGAGAGAGAGAGAGAGAGAGACCCTATTTAAAAAAAATTTTTTAGTGACCTGTCTCTGAAGTTAAATTCGGTCATTTCTGCCATATCCGATTTATTAGATGCAAGTCACTTAGTCCAGGCCACCAAGTCAAGATGAGGGGAATTAAGTGTCAACATTTTGAAGAGAAGAGTATCAAAGTGTTTTGTGGACATATTTAAAAACCCCATAAGGGGTTTAGCTGCTGGAGATGTGGCAGGGGGAGGCGTGTGGAGTTTCATTCAGGAGTGTAGCTGCTAGGGGGCAGTTAGATACAGGGATTTAGCTGCTAGGAAGTTGTTCGAGTCAGTGGTTTCATTGCTAGGGGGCCGTGTTACATCTGAGGTTTAGCTGCTGGGAGCAGCTAGATTCAGGAGTTTCCCTGTGGGAAGGGATTTCAGAATCTCAGGTTTGGCTGCTCTTTGAGTGTGAGTGTGAGTGTGTGTGTGTG